TTTTTTTTTGCAACTGTAAGAGGAGAAGGTTCATGTTCTCTATAAGGTGCTGTTTGGATCCTGAACTTATTTTAGACCATTGCATTTCTTGGAGGTCAATGGTAAGACACTGATTTACATCAGCTGAAGCTCTTGCCAAGAGTTGTGCGGTAGGCTGGATCCTTTCTCCGAAGACTAATTGGAGGCCATCAAACTTAATTTTGGCTACTTTAGGTTCAGTCTGTCTCTCTGCAAGACCAGTGAAGCTTTCCTGCTTTTCACTTCTCTTAGATTTCAGTTGTAACATGTAATGCTGGCTTTCAATTGTAATTTCAAAACGTGTGCGGGGTGCAGTGCTGTATCCAGACCCGACTGGACAATGGGGTGTGCCTGCCTTTACATCTGTGTGCAATTCCCTTGCCTGTGCTCAGTGATGCAAACCACTTTTGATGTCAGGAATATGGAGAAAACACTGTGTTACCCCCAGGCCTACACTAGAGAAAAGGCTCAGCTCCATCCAGGCTGAGGCTCTGCTGCAGGATCAGTGATTGGTGACATTTCCCAAATTGTCCCTTCCATTCCACGCGCAGGCTGAAAGGGTTTCGTGTGCAAAACTTGTCAGGGTGTTTCAAATTCTACTGTTTGTCTTTCTTTTCCAGGTGATGAATGTTTGTATGAGAGCTTTCCAGAACTTCCCTTGGGGGAAGTGCCAGAAGCTGATGGAGAGGCTGCAAATGTCCAGTGTCCAACATCCATCAGCATCCAAGAGCCGTCTTCTCCAGCGACCTCCAGCGAAGCTTTCACACCCAAGGAGAGCTCTCCTTACAAGGCTCCAATATACATTCCTGATGACATTCCCATTCCTTCAGAGTTTGAGCTCAGAGAATCCAACATTCCTGGAGCAGGATTAGGGATATGGACCAAAAGGAAGATTGAAGCAGGGGAAAAATTTGGCCCTTTTGTAGGAGAGCAGCGGCCACACCTGAAAGACCCTAGTTACGGCTGGGAGGTAAGATGCTGTACATTCTTTTGGTCTATTGAATTCTTGTCTGTCTATCTATAAACACAGAAATATTTGCAGAATTTGAGTCTTATCCTGCAACAGCCAAAGTATATTTATGTGCATAAAGTACTTAGTGACCTTTTGGGATTTTCTGGATGGAGACGAGTGTAAATTGAGAAAGAAAATAAGTCAGAAATTTATATTGCTCTTCATGCTTGAAATCTGCCTGGGTGGGTGTTGGCAGGTGATGCTTCTTTTGAGGATAATGAGGAAAAAGTGTTGTTGGAACATTTCTATACCTTTAATCAAGTTTTGGATAGTCCTACATTATGTCTCTGGCTGAGGGGTTTGCAAAATCACTGCATTATAGGATTGAAATGAAACTGGGTGCTGCTTTCAGGGTTCTGAATTGCCACTTTCTGTCAACAAGATTAAAATAGCCCTTAAATTTGTGTTGTATGGCTAAACTTGCTATTGAACAACTTTGTGCTACTAGGGGGCTTCAAAAGCTGGGGGGATTGATCCTGCTTCCACTTGACTTAATGGGAATTCTGCCACTCATTTGGTGATGTAAGTTTGGATGCTAGTGCAATACCCAGCACACATGGGAATGGTGTGGTTCATGTAACTTCTGCAGATGCTTTGGGGAATCCTTTCCCTGAAGGAGCTCATGGACTCCTTTGGTGAGTACAGGTGATGGATATTGCTTTCCCTGCCTTCAGGGACAACATTTTCCTCACTGTGGTATCACTGAGGACCTGTCTGAGCTCCTGGTCCATGGTCAGCTCAGGGATTCAAACATCAAGTGGTTCTACTGTTGTGTTATGATGTAACAAATGTTCCTGCATGGTTTTATTCATAGTTTTAACAATGTGCTGTAGGAACAGAACGCAATCTCTGCTTTCCATCTGTACGTTTCCTTTGGTTTCTGATAAGGGGAGCCATGCAGGGTTTGCATGGCTCTCCAGGGGCACGCCTGACCTCTGGAGAGATGGGAGTTCATTTTCCCAGGAAAAATGAAGTTTCATCGCGGAGCAGAGCAGATATGGTAGAAAATGGAAGCTTGATTTGCTCTTAACTATCCATAAACACTCAGGGAGTTCATTGCAAACTTTCCATCCAGCTGTTTAAACTCTTGTGAGACCTGTGACAATGTGACAGAATAGTGTCAGGAGAAATCATAGACTTGGCAGCACTCTATTGAGTTAACAGACTGTGATGCAATATAATTGCTAGTGAGAAATCTTTATTATTTGAAAAAGGCACCAGGAAACCATAAAATCTGACCTTTAACCATACCACAATTAAGCTCAAATATTGATAACAGAAATTAAAGCAAAACTGTTGATACATGGCTGTACTTGCAGGTTTAACATTATTCCAAAATTAGGGTATTTTAGACTGGACACTCAAGTGCTGTAGGACAGGATAATCCCACTAGGACTGAGGGAAACCCATCTTGCTTTTTACACCCTTAGATGCTGCCAGTATTCTACAATATTAGAGACTGGTTTTCCTGCTTGAAATATTTCAGATTTTGGGGTCTGTGATATTCAGGCAAGAAATTAATATCTAGATAGTGCTGGAAGCCCAGCTGGCAGCCTGAATCCCTTTCAAGCTTCAGGACTCGTGCCATTTGAATAGTGTTATTTATTTGGGACAGCTGGGGCAGCTATTGAAAAGTGTTGGAGCAAAATCACACAAAATCAACAGTCAAGTCCCTCTGCAATTTGGTCACTCACGCAGAAGTATCCTGTGATGCTTAGAAGAACTTGAAACTGAATATTTTTCCAACAAGTGGGTTAAATACATATACTGTAGTTGAAGAGAGACAAAGAAATTCTGGTTACCAGAGTTTACACAGTGAGTAAAAGGCACACAGTGATGGCTGGAACTAGAGGAGGGATGTGGATCCATCTGATAGCACCTGGTAGTGCTGGAGAGGATTTCAGTGATGCTCATTCCACCCCAGATGCTTATCATCACACTCCTCAGGAATCCACCTCTTCCTGGGGCTTGTGCTTTGGATATTAAAGAGGGAAAGAAGCTGATTCTGGTGTGTGGGCTCAGGCAGTGCTAAAGGCAGTGTGGGATGGTGAGGAAAATTATCATTTACTGAGGTATAAGTACGGTCTTTAAGCTTTTCTGGTGCTGTTGTTTTCTGATTAAATGGGCACTTTTGGGAAACAAGGTGTATGTCCAGACAGGGGCCAACAAGTCAGTTAACAAATGAGAATTCATTCTGCTGTTGCTGATAATCAAGGTGAAATTTCATTTCAATCTTAAATGGAGGAAGGATAGAACCAAAGTTTCTGTGTGGTGCTGGATGTAGGTTTTAAGTGATTTTGCAGCATGCAAGGTTTTAAAATCTTTCCACTTGTTTGATGAGTGAATTGTATTGATGCAGATTGTGACACGATGATATCTCGTGTTTGGTTTACTGTAATTCCTGGGGCAGTTCATGGTGCTATAGAAGCCAACTGGTGACTTCAAAAGGAAGGATGTCCCTCCTTCTGCTCATGTTGCTCCTGGTCCCATAGGCCAAAGAAAGTGTTTTGCTGCATCCAGGCATACTCATTTCTTCATTTCTTCATACTCATTTCTTGTCTGCAGTGCTTCCAGAAATGCATAGTGGGGTAGCACTATTGCTACTATTTGTGTACTTACCTCTTGAGTAATTTCCGCTGTGACTGCAGAGAGGATAATTAAGTTATTGAAAAAAATCAATCTTTTCATTTAATCTGAGTTTAAGCTGGAACAGTAAATGTACAAAGGTGTTTAGCTTTCACAATCTTTTTTTTTTGAGGAAAACAAACATTAAAAGAGTTTTGTTTGGAAAGATGGACATCTTCCTCAGCCTTTTTCTGATGCTGCACATATTATCAATTTTGTTATGAAATATTTGCTCCATTTTTGCAACTGTTTAGTATTGCTAGGTAGTCTAAAATCTTACACTAGAAAATTTTAACTGAAACCCCTACATTCACCTTGGAGAGAAGAGTTTACGGTTACACACAAATTTGGACTGTAACTATATTTTTGGAAAGGACATTTTTTTTCCCTTGCAAAAGCTTGTCATAATTTTGGGTGTTTCCAGCTGTGGGATACTTCTGACTTCCAGTTTTTGTTACTGATATCCATCTGAATTGATTCTGGGATTAGCCTGGGAGAGAAACTGAAGCTGAGGGGACTGCTGCTGTTAAATTCTGCAGCCAGGCAGTTGATGATAAATAAAAATTTTCTGCAGGAGACTGAGGAATTTCATGGAGCCTGTTCCTACATTCCCCTATAGCAAAACTCCCTATGGGATCAACACAGAGTTCTATCAGAGCAAGTCCAAGAAAACAATGTCTATTGTGTCCATTTATGCAGTTCAGCCATAAAACACACTCTGGAACAAAAAGAATTTGTTGTGATATAGTCATGCTTGGGTCATGATTAGAGTGCTGTAGATCAGTTTAAATGAAAAGCCATAAATTTGAATTTTATCTCATTTTGTGGGGCTGGAGTTGAGCATTATCTAATCAGGTATTGGTTAGCTAAAGCACAAATCGAACAGGGGGTCACCGGACAAGGGGAAAGGTCGAGCTTTTTTGCAGTTTGTCACGGGGGTTTTAGTATTTGCCGGCAGCCCGAATATCCGAGGGGGTCGGGAGGCTGTTGCTCGGTGCTTGTTTGAAAAGGGAAAATTGACTGCTGCTTAATCAACAAAGAAAACAAGCTTTTAAGGGATGGCAGTAATTTTTTTTTAAACAAAAAGCAAGGGAACACAAATTTAGTGATTTCATCGTGGTTCATGCCCTGCTATGAAAAACAACTGGGAGAGTATTTCAAAGCAAGGCTTTGAGTAGGTTGCCAAAGCACACGCACCTACCTTGGACCAGAGGACGCCCAATATCCAAATTCAGGTCTTTTGCTGCTCTAGCAAACTCAAAGTCTCATTCATAAGGACAAATTCTCCACAGCTCTTTTGATCCCAAACTTTTATTTCTTTACTAGGAGGGCAAAACCAGGAGCAATAAACTCTAATAAATCAAACCTGTCACAGAAGTAAAAAAATATTTTAGAGCTTTATAAAGCAGCATATAATCTGTTTATAGAGCAGAGTATATTTTCCTGTCATGCCAGTGAGGCTGAAAAACAACTCATATTTGGTAGAGTATGCTTGAGCTGATGCTATTACTTCTAAATGGAAATTAGGAGGCCATTTGGCTATTTATTTATGTCTCCTCTAACATTTTTCATGTGAGTCCTTTGAGAAAGCTGCACAGCTTCCTAAAAATTGTTCTGGAGTACAAGCTTGCCACTGGTTGGTAAGGACTGGAATAGTCACAGTTTGAATCTTTAATTCTGGGCTCTTTTGCTTTCTTTTGGCAGTTTTAAAAATTAAATTTATTCAAGATTCTGGCGTTTAGGTGTACCATAAATTGTTATGAAAACTAAATAGCATGTTAAAAAAAAGTATAGGCTTTTAGAGGTGAAATCTAATCTATATGCTCCCAAATCTGGGTTGTAGCACCTAAACCAATAGCTTGGTTTTCTTAGCATCCAAAAACTTCTACTGTAATCAGTGGCAGTTACCAACCAATTCCTACGTACAGATGTTAGCCCCTGGTTTTGGGTCCTTCTATGGGAAAATCTGTGCCAAAATGTTGAAAGCAGCATTTGTTTGTTTGTTTTGTTTTTAATAAAAACAGAGCAAAAAGTCTTGTCTTCTAAATAACTTCACATGGAATTCACACATCTTAAAACTTGAGTTAAGCTATTCTTAATAAACAGTGACAGTGCTGAGGGAAATAACTCCCTTGTAGCCAGGAAAATCACTCTGGGAGAGAGCAGTAGATAATGTTTTTTTTTTTTTTTTCAAAAAGAAAAATAGAAGGAACAAAGACTTCATCACTTGTGAATATTTTTCTTTGGGATATGGAGTGTGTCTTAGTGTTAAACAATAAACCCCTTGATTTTCTGCTGTTGTTTGACACTTTCACACTGCCACTGGTCTGTGA